GATAGATTCCCTTCAAACCAACAGGGGGTCGATACAAAATATTCCGAGCCAAATATTCCGAAGTCATGGAAAACTATGCTCTACACCTGCAGCCCAAGATCGGGATCTTTTGGCGGCTCCACAGAAAGGGATTCGGGGTCCATAAAGTTGAAGGAAAAACAAAGAATGCACCCCAGGCAAACCCTTGTATGCAACCAGCGATTGTCCTTTTGGATTTTCAAGGGTGGTTCCCTTGGTTGCCCGCTATACCTGGAGTCTCCTTCCGACCCTTGAAAAATGGTGCAATGACCCCAATTTTTTTGGGGTCATTGACCCATTATTTTAGGGGTGATGGAGACTCCAGGTACACCTAAAGATCCGCTGGGAATGATTCATTACTGTGGATGGTTGCGACATCCGCTTCGAAGACGCGAGAGGCCACGGTTGAAACCAGAAGGTTGGTGGTATACCGTGGGGGGATCGAATCATTACAAGGCAGCCATGTTGGTTAATAGGGAAATCATGTCATTCCAACGAACGGTGGTGCAAAATGGAGTTCGTCCATCCATATCTGTAAAGTCTTCAATAATTCCAACACCCGAAATAACGAAACCCCAACTAGATTGAATATGTCCATACCTTTCGCTCGTTTTACCCCATCGGTGGAATCGCTCGCCATAACTTCTGAAAATATATTCGCAGGTACCTGGAGTCTTCATGACCCTTGAAAAATAGGTCCATGACCCCATTACTTTAGATGGTGACCCCGTTTTTAAAGGGTCGTGGAGACTCTAGGTGGCCATAAATTATTCGCAGGTATCCACACATTTGGGCTCTTCATCCCCAAAATCTCGCCCAAATTTCTCGGGTGACCCGTTGAGCGAAAGCGGAAACCCTGGCCCTTCCTTGCTCAGCTCCGCGACCACGTCCGTGGAGCTCTGGCCACGAAAATGCGCGGCTCGCCCCCCCCCCCCCCCCCCCCCCCCCGAAGTTGAGGTTAGGTTTCTTTCGGGCGGTTTCGAAAAAAAATCCTGCCTCCTTTTGAAGAGATGTCACCCCTGAAAATCTTCACCTTGGCCTTCCCAGGACCCTGAACAAAACAGGGTTTCTGGCGGCTTTCCTCTGGGTAAATCGAGATTCGGCCACAGGCCTGGCCTGTTGCCTGTTGTTTTAGGGTGTCTTACTCCAGTGCCTTTTTGCCTTTCTCTCCTTGATACTGTGGATGGACGAAATCCTGAACCACTTTGAAACAATGGGAAACCATGGCTGGTTGGTATATACAGGCGAATTCTCATTTCAGAGTTTCTCAGGTGGTGGAGGATTTTGTCCATCCACATAAGGGGGTTGCTTGGCATAACACATGAGCAGTCCAGGATCCCCTCTGAACTGTACACCGCTTCAGGATCTGAAAGGCTTCTCGAGAACCCTCCGTGCCCCAGGGGCTTGCAAGTCACTCCGTTTCCAGCCGCAAACATTCTGCTTCCCTGTGGATTGGCCAAAAGAAGGCCAAACCTCGCTTCCGATCAAGTGAATCGGTCAGAAACAGTCTGATTTTTGTCAATTTTTATTGAAATGGCCCCAACCCAATTAGTGACTAAAGTCCAGGAACTCAGGGAGTCAGTCTATACATATAGATGTACCAAGATGAGTGATGAGTATAATGATTCTGTCTGCTTTACTATAACTGCCATTACACTAGGTCGAAGAACCAGTTGAAAGTGGTCCCGATCCAAAAAATGTCGAAGGTCCAGGAACTCACATGAGCAAACTGCGGAACCTTTGCTACGCAAACACATCACACTGATGCTTCTGGTTCCCGCTCCCCCGAATTCACTGTGCTCCGATCCCCTGCTAAAAGCTTATGCTTTCGTGGGTCAAATGGACGCGTAAAAACCCAAGGGGAGGGAATATAGTGAGTCAACCGCCTTCAAAAGGGCAAGGAGTGCCAGTTCTCGATAACTAGACTGGAAAGCCACATCAGATTTTGAGGGTTCCAGAAGCTTTGACATGTTCGTATCAAGGGGCTCATTTGGCGCCGGGGGGGGGGGGGGTTGAGATGGGGGGCAATGTTTTGGTGCAGACGGAAAGGGTGGGGCAGCTATTTCTATGTTGCCAATGCCATCTGCTCTTTCCCCACTACACCTGCGACGTCATTGTCCAAGATGCGGGATCATGGAGAAAGCCGAAGGAGAGCACTCGCCACTGTGTGTTGGCCAATCTCAACATAGTTGTGTCCTTTTTGGGAAATGGCCCCCCTGGTAGTTGATTGAACCACCACGTGAACCAGGGCCCTCTATTTTTCAACCAAATCAACCAAAAAGGACACCTATGGAACTGAAGTGAAGGGAACCCTGGGGGGATCCCATTTTGTCCCAGTCGCCCTGGCAGCAACTGACGAGCCATGTTTAGTCTGGGCTGCCCCGCTAAAAGTTTAACTTTTGGTGGGGTAAATGGAAAGTACCACTAAACACTAAAAGGCTAAAAAGCTAAGGGGATGGGTGGGAGCCACCAAGTAGTGAGCAAGCAAGCAGAATCGCATTGAGCTGGGTGGGTGGGTGATGTTATTGCTGGGTATTCTGACCCCATGTTGGAAGGATCATGGAGACTCTAGGGAGCCAATTTGTGGTTTTACCCCATCAAGCAGAAACGCCATGAACTTGGGCAAACGAACAAGCGGGGATACGGAGGGAGCGGGGATATGGGGGGATTCCCTTGCCGCCATTTCCCATATCAAACTTAGTCAAGATGCATTTAGGGGGAATCCTCCCGTATCTCTGGTTCCGCCCTGTATCCCTGCTAGTTGGTTTCCCTAATGTCTCTCTTTCCTGGTCCATCACTTCGCTCCGGAAAGGAGAGAAGAGTGTGGAAAAGAGAAAGAGAACCGTGATATCTACCTGGTTCCCCCTATATCCCTACTACTTGGTTTCTTTTCTGATGAACGGTGGCTCAGGGCTCCCTATATTTCCCCTTAAAACATCACCCCCGCCAAGGGATACTCACCTTTCATGGGCCAAAAAGGCGATGTTTAAAACAACCAAACAGGGAATATAGGGACCCCTGTCTACTGCTGGACGACTCCAAAGTCTTGGCAACACGTCATCCCACCTCCGAGAGCGCTGAGATCACGTTGGCGTAGCAGAAGTGCTGCTTCTGAAACCTCGGGGTGGTTCGCGCGACTCGCGGGTCGCACCGTTTTGGAGGTCTTCCAAGAAAGGAAGGAAACCCTAACCCTACCCAGCGGATCCAGTTAAAATTTAGCTGTATAGTAGGAATCCAAGAAAGACCACCCTTTAAAAGCCAAAGGAAGATGGCTGGTTACATATTGCAAGCGTTTGCCTGGGATTCACTGGACTAGGGTTCAATCCATAAGAATGGCCTTGAAGGAGCCAATCTAGCTGAAACTCCTGCAATGATCCTTTGTTTCTCCCATGACATGGGACTCAAACCCAGAAGCATCCAAACAAATTGGGAAGTTATTTTTGAAAGATGGTACCCTCGGCTTGTTTGATTGGCCCCAAATTCGGGCACACAGAAACACACAAGCCCAGATTCTGCTGAAATATTTAGTCCGCCAGCCAGCTTTGGTGACCCCAGTCTTGGTGACATCAACTCCGTCGCTGCAGCAAAGACACGGTGGGATTGAATAGTGCAACTCTCTGATCTCACTGCCGATCAGGTGGAGTGGCCAAACAAATCCAAACTTTCTGTTTACTACCCGGAGTCTCCATGACCCTTGAAAAATGGTTGGTCATTACCCAAAAGTTTGGGGTCATTGACCCCTTTTTAAGGGTCATATAGACTCTAGGTACTGAAATCGTCTCACCATAGTTGTAGACAAATCCAGGAACTCGGGGAGAGAGCTTCCCGTGATTTAGCCATGCTTTTGGTGGCTTACTTGTAAACTTGAGTTGGCATTCCCCCCTGTAGGTGGTCTTCAAAATATGGGTGCCCAAACAAATATATACGACGTTCCAGCTTTGATTTCTCTCAAACAGAGCCCCCCAAAGAAGTGGGTTCCCCACGCGAAATTTGCCATGCCCCACTAAAACTGCGTTCCTGAAAAGTGCGAGTAAGTTTACAGTCCATGAAATTTGGGTGGTTCTTAGGGTTTGGCCACCCATTGGTTTAAACATGTTTAAACCACTGTCTATAATGATTCCTCCCTAAAGGTGGTGTTCAAACCATATTTTGCCCGTTCCCCAGGGTTCTGGTTGGCTTCCTTGGCGTCCAGCCCGTTTTGCCGAAGCCTTGGCGTCCCCAGCGCCTCGAACGAAGCGCGGCTCCGCACTCCCCGCGACGCGATTCCGATTCTCAGCTCCAGGCCCGCTGGGCGCCACCGCTCGCACTAAGAGAGCCTCGGGTGACATCTGGTTGGTGTCGGCAGTGCGTTGGAATGATTTCAAGAGCCACTTCTGGCTGCTAAAATTTGAAGGGAACGCCGTGTTCTTTCTTCTTCTTTTTTTTTGGGGGGGGGGAATTGCCAAAACCGGTTCATTCCCAACACCCCGGACTTGGATAGCAAGATATCAGCAGCCCAAGACCTGACGAGCTTGAGTCCGAAACGGAACTCGGGGAGTGAGTAGATATACTAGATTATCAATTTTCATTTTATAGAAGTTACTACAACCAATACACCAGGTAGAATAACCAGTTGAAATTGCCTTTTGCGGGTTTTGGGTTCTGAGCAAATGGGATTCTCCACGAGCGTGTGTTTCCAACAGGCCCGGAACTGGGCGATGTTTGCTCACAGGGACCAAACATGTAATTTTCTGGGTGTATGTAAACATGAATCAACCTCAAACAATGACATAGGTTTTTGGATTTTATCTTGAGCCTTCTTTAAAAAAAAAGAAGAAGACAAAAACAGAAGAAACAAAAACATCAAGACACTTTGAAACAACAGCTCAACATCATCACAAAACACCGCGAGTTGTCCTCGGCTCGGGGCTCGGAATTTGATCGAATCGAGGCTCGAGTCGAATCTCCTGCCTGTCGGTTGCTGCGATCAGGAGCTCCAGCCTTCACCACCTGAACAATAAACGGGGGAAAACAAAAACACACCTCCATCCAACATGGTCCCTTCACGAGGAAAATGATCTTCCAGGTACCTCCCCACAAGTGCCATGTTGGGAAAAACATAAACATACCTGGAGTCTCCAGGACAGGTGTCCTTTTAGGGGAAATAGATGGGTTCCCTGGTAGATAAGACAAAACCACCAGGTAAACCAGGAAGCGCCATCTATTTTTCGACCAAAACAACCAAAAAGGACACCTATGTCCAGGACCCTTTTAAAATAGGTCCATGACTCCATTATTGGCAGCTGACATGGAAATGGTCCCTAGAAGAAAATGCTCTTCTAGGTACCTGCCCACAAGTGCCATGTTAGTGGGAGGAAAAAAATCCTTGGCTGGAATTAGGACCCTGCTGGTTTTAAAGGAACTTAGTTTCACTGCTGGAAAGTTTTTATTATTATTATCATTGTTTTTTCCTAGGGGACTCAAGCAAATAGAGGCAAGTTACCCTCCCATGGTGCCATGGCAGCTGACTTGGGGTCCCTGGAGGAAAATGATCTTCCAGGTACCTCCCCACAAGTGCCATGTTAGTGGGAGGAACATTTTCCTTGGCTGGAATTAGGACCCCCGCAAAAAAATGATATTTTTTGCCTGGTTAGTGGAAAACAAAGGGAACCAAAAAAAACAAAAAACAAATAAAAGGGGAACTAAATCTGAGGAAAAATCCAAACTAAACTGCCCTCAAATGCCCAGGTAAAAGTTGAGTTTTTAGCGGGTTGAACGGAAACAACCACTACAGCCACCTGCCTCGATGATCTCTTTATTGGCGCAAGCGATGCCACCACAGTCCTGGAGATTACACGGACCCCGCTCACTCACGGATTAGATTCAATGAAAGTCCCGCAAGCAAGGGGGTCCCTTGTGATTGAAACCATTTGCTTTACTCTATCCATTCCTGTCTCACAGAATCACCGGCCAAAGGCCAAGAACGACCCTTGAAACCATTTGCTTCACTCTATCCATTCCTGTCTCACAGAATCACCGGCCAAAGGCCAAGAACGACCCTTGAAACCATTTGCTTTACTCTATCCATTCCTGTCTCACAGAATCACCGGCCAAAGGCCAAGAACGACCCTTGAAACCATTTGCTTCACTCTATCCATTCGGTCTTGCTGTCTCACCCAATGACCCTTCCAAAGGATTGAGCGTTGCGTGGCCTGGTGAACCCTCTGTTCAAGCCCAGACCCATGTTCGAGCGTTGGGCCGGAGGTCAGGGATTGGTGAATTGGGCCAACTTACCCTCATTCGATTCTACAGGCAAACCCCAAAGGACCCCCAAAGGACCCATAAAAAAGGGCTACGGCAGAAATAAGGAATCGGTCCTTTGGGGGTCCATGCAAGCCCCAGAACGACCTTCCGATCCAGTGAGCCTCGAGCTATTGAGCGAAAAGTCCCCGGAAACCCAAACAGTGGGCATGGAGCCATTCCTTGTTGCCCGTAGCCACTGAAATATGGCCACAAAAAAAGGGGGCATGTGGTTCTTTTCAGGAAAACCCCCCCAAGATACTCAGGGAATGAGGAAGCCACTCTTGGCCACTATATGGGTATGTTGTTTTTTAGGGAGTGAGGAAGACCCCGCAAACAACATCAGGGAGTGAGGGCACTTCGGCCCAAAGGATTGGCCCTCTGAGCGACTGCCCGGAAGGACCAACAGTCAAGAGCATTTTAAGGGAGAGGGGTTTTGGAGGCAGCTCATGTACCACTTACATGGGGGTATAAAACGCCTTACAAGCTTATATTGGTGGTATGTAAGACTCGATGGTCCAACCACCATACCTGAAAATGCCAAATTGAAACAGGTGACTTTGGGGGCAGCTTCCCCACTCTTGAGGGCAACACCGAAGGAGCCCTTTTTGGCCTCTCAAGTGCATCCTCACGAGGAACTCGCAACAAGCACCCTGAGAACCAACGGGTCAAAAGATTGAATTTACTCATCTCTCTGGGCAAGATGCTTTTGGACCCCCTGAAATACTGGCTCTTGCTCCCACTGCCCAAAAAATGTTTTGCTGCTTAGCGGGAGAACACCTAATTTCCTTAAGGTTATAAGGGTTGAAGACCCAACCAAACAGCAGCCAAGGTGATGGTTTCTGAAAAATATACGGCAGAATTCTGCAGATTCCCAACCCAATTCCAAACGTATCCTAGCCCGTACAGGGGAGCAAACAACTGTCAACAATCTTTGCTAGCACCTCACTGTAGGTAACCAGCGAATATGATCACACAAGCACCTCAACATAGAGCCTAGATACCTAATGTATCATTTATGTGGGTATAATTGTTCATTGCGGGCCCTTTGTTGACATCATTGAATGTGTGAAACCACCTACAAACTACCTGTAAGCTCATGTTGCATTCAACTTCCACTTCCATGCTTGATTCGCATAACCACATGTGCCCGCCAACCATGCAAGAGGGTAGTTCAACCAGAAACACTTCACAGTCGGATAGACTCCCTGAGGATTGTGTTTGGACCCCATGCTAGTTTTGAGCCACGCCGATGTATGGGTGTCTCTCAGAAGCAGGGAATCAAACACCGAGTGGAAGAAGCTTGTTCGCCCAAGCGTTGACCACCTCACCTAAGTTCTTACGTAATAACAATGTCAACTCCACTGAACGGGAGACTTCTAAGCGGGCTTCAACTTAGGTTAACAGCTTACTAGCTTGGCAAACCGAGCACCCAAGGGGGCAGGGTACTTAGTAAGTGGGCAACAACTATGGTTATAACCCACTTAGGAGACTTACAAGAACTCCCAAGCAAAGCTCAGTTGTTCAGTGACCCTGGAAAAAAAGGGAACCCTTTTTGGGGAAGACCATCTTTACCGGGGCAGCCACCCCCAAAAAAAAAGGAAGAGGAAACGGCGTGCCACTGAACTCTCAAGCAAAGGAAGGCAGAAAGAAACCTGGGGCCGTCGGGCCATCCGGCTCCTGATCGATGTCGATCTTGTAGGTTGGGGCGTCCCCGTAGGGGAAGGGGCTCCTGCAACGGAAAAAACGCGCAGGCGCCAAAGGGAAACGGCTGCTGTCATGAGCGACAGAAGGCCCCTGGAAAAAATGACAACACGTCCAGTAAAAAATGCCCGTCAAAAAAAACAGCTGGGGAAAATAAACCATAGACTTAAGCAAATGAAAGGCTTTGGACAATATCTTATCCAATACTTGGGAGACTTGGGTGGAAGGATCCCTTGTAAGGAAAGAGCAATTATCTTTAGCATCTTCACGTAGCCCTAGAGTGTCCTTTGGTAGTTGGGTGACTGTTGCCGATAAGTTGCTAATAACCCAAATAATAGCCCACTTATAAGTTCCCCCATGTAAAGGGGGGGAGGTTCTACCACACGTTGCCCTTTTTCACTAACCTTCCATTTGGTTGAGAATCCGGGAAAAAAGCAAAACTATTTCCAGTAGTGATAATTCCTTCTAAAACCAAAAAAACATATTAATGTCAGCAAATGGAAGTAACAAACCAAATCAGCATATCGATGCCGTGGAGAGCAAAAACGCATATGCTGCTCTCTGGGGACTTCTCCTAGCGCCATGCTCCATGCTCCATGATGATCAAGCGCCATTCCTTGAAGTGTCAAGCACCATTCTAGAAAAAACAAAGAAGCTGGCGGGCTTTAAAGGGTGCCCCTTTTGTTGGTGGGTTTTAATGGGACATATTGCTCTCGTTCTTCTTTTTTTTTTTGTGGGGGGGGGGGGGGGGAAAACTTGCTGGTTCGATAGGCAGGGAATGAGACTTGGAATGACCTCTTTCCTTCAAGGGAAACCCCAATGCAGCAAACAAGCCTGTGTATACATATTCATATATATATATACATATAACCAATCTTTGCATAATGGGCAATGTTCTACATATGCACGTACCTTGAATATATATATATATATACATGGACATAAAAACTAAAACTGTTTTTGCGTATCTATGCGTGTGTATCTAAACTAATGTAAAGTAACAATGCAAGTGTAAATGTACATATAGGCATAGATGTACACATAGGCCTACATATGGTGTAGCGTATTGCAATATTTCTGTGACATGTTGTGTTACATTGCGTTTACAGAGATATGCGTTCTCATTTATTGTGCAAAGAACACACCTTGTTTTGTTCAGCACCCACGTTGGGCGCGGCCTGCTGCCGAGCTTGACGACCACCATGCGGTAGGCGTTGCTGGCATTGACGGTGCCGCCCTGAAGCTCGGTTCCAGTCACGTTTTGGGGTCTGGGCCATATCGTGGATGAACGAAATCTAATTCGCATCACGAAATGAAACCATGGTTGCCAGCGGTGTTCTGAGCCAGTAACAAATCTTCCTAGGAAGACTTACAGGCGGGGGACATAGCTGGGCTACTAACAATCTACTAACTTGGCAACGAACACCCAAGTGCTCATGCTGCAGATTGACATGGAACCAACAAAAGCCGAAAACCGCTTGCCTCTGAGCAGGGCAGCTTCCCATCTACAAGAAGCAGGAGTTCAAATCCTCAAGCCACCTATCCAAAGCACCAATGGGCTTCTCCATTTGCAGTGATAGATTCCTTTTAAAACCAACATGGGGAAACCACACATATTCCCAGCGCTTCCAGTTTCCGCTATACTTGTAGGAGGTAGCCAGGGTAAACCATCCATGGCGACACACATGGAAGCACTGGGGGGGATGTCTGACACCTGTGTTACAACCCAATAAAAAGGTGAACTCCGCTGATCGCAATTGGAAAATGGCAACACAGTGGCTCAAAATTAAAGAAGGGTTACGCAGGTGTTGGTCCATTCCGCTTACCAGGCAACCCATTTTGGTACCGTTGTTTTGAGCCATACCCAACCGCTGGCTTCGTTTCGCGTCTCTTTCGCTTGCCTGGGTGGTGTAGAATCCGCGCTTGTCAGTGTCGTACACCTCCCCAAGGCCTGGTGTTGGGTTCGAGATCCCAAAAATGCTGGCGCCCCAATGTAGCAGGGATCCTTATGAAAAACACCTGAACATTGCAACTTGTCAATGGTGGTGTCCCCTTATTTTGGTGTTGAAAAAGAAACATGTTTCAAATGGTTGCAAGATGTATCTTTTAAGGAGCCCTGTGGCTCAAACATGGGGGGCCAAAATGGAACCCTTGTAGGCTCGCCCCAATATGGGTGTGGCTCAAACATGGGCCAAAATCGAACCCTGGTACATGCACATGACTCTGAAATTTGGAGCCTTCCGAGAATTAGTTCACCAAGGAAAGTACCCGGATATGTTGATGTTGCAAAAATAATGGCAACCAGACCCATTGTTGTGACTACAGTCCACTCAGGGAGTGAGATATCCGTAGCAGTCTCCATTTGAACAAAATGGGGCTACAGGACATCCTAGCTGTTGGCGGATGTTCCAAATTTATGCAACCATTCCTGGGGTGTCTATAGGATACTAAAACACCACTACAACAACAGCCACGACTATCTGGCACCATGATCAATAATAATTTGACTTCCCAAAAGCCCGGAGAAGGTGATTCTTGTCAGTGGTCACTGGATTTCCCGCAAGTTGAATCTATTTGCTTGTTTCCGTTGCAACGATCCTTGACCAACGTTCAACCCCTAGCATCGATTGAAACGCAAATGGAAGAGCGCAAGGTCTTTTTTGAGGGTAGCCTTTTCACACGTGAACAACCCTTGGCCTAGGATTAGCAGACTTTCCTGGTTCATCATTTAAGTCAAGGGCATATGTCAAATGGTCCCAAGAATGAAAAGGGAAGCCGTGTTCAAAGCCACCCAACGATGATCGGGGGAGGGGGTCATTCCCTTTCGCACAGTTTTGGCAGTGGCTCACCGAGCCCAAAATGTTCAACTTGTTTCAGGTTGCTTCATAGAGGATAATGAAAGGAAACCACCCTCAGTTTCTTAACTAATATAAGGGGTAAAATAATTGCACACGTTGGTGTCCCTTCCTGACAATGCGTTCTTTTGTGGTGCCCCACAACCCCATTTAGGCCTTTGTACAGCCAGAACCTCAGGGTTGGTTTTTTCTGCACCCATCTTCCTTTTCAGGATTCGCTCATTGCGAAAGCTGGTCTGCCTTGCTTGGTCCCGAGAGGGATCCAATGGAAAAGAAAACGGCCGGGCTGGTTGTTTCAACCAATGTGAGTGGGAGGAAGGGTCACGGCATAGACTGGCACAGCCTTGGGTTTGTCTCAAAGGCCAATGCGAACTTGGGGAGTGTCCTTTTCTTGCCTGTAAACACACACACACACACCAGGACACTCAGAATACCCATAAAGAAATGGATTGTTCCCCCAAAATCTTGGTTCGTAAATTCCATGGCTTTTTTGGGTAGTTGTCCAGGTACCCTTTGGTTTCAACCAAAACCCAACCCAACAAATCGCAACCCCGGCAGGATGGCCTTCCAGGTAGTCGTCGAAGTCCTTCACCAGGCGAGCGTCCACATAGCCCTCTGCCTATCCGATCGGAACCCTTCGAGGGACGCCCCCCTCACTTCCTTGAGGGAAAGCTAATGAACCAAGTGCATGTGTCACTTGTTCGGTGTTTTTTTGGGGGGAATGGGGTAGGAGCATGTTGCACGACAGAGGGTCCCAATACCTCACATGTTTACGGCTTTCGGTTTGGTCCTTGCCAGAGTTTGTCAACGATTCCTGGAATGAGGCAACTGAGCCTTTGGGCAGGCGTCTTGATCTTGATGGAGACCCTGATGTTCTTGAGCTTCTCTTTTAAACGTCACAACTTGGTCCAAAAGACTGCCCCCCTTCCTGGACCTCCCTCAAACGTCTCGAAACGGGGGGGATCCCCGACTTGTGCAAGACAAAGCATGGGTTCGCCTCCATTTCACGACACGACCAATAAACAAACATGCGTCGCTTGCCCAAAACAAGCTGTGACTCCAAGCCCCCCGGCCCCGAACACGCAAAAAAATGGGCGTGAGCGACCTCTTTTAGGCTCAAAGTCACTTAGTTTGGAAAAGGTGTACCTGGAGTCCGCTTCTGACCCTTAAAAAATGGGTCAATGACCCCAACATTTTGGGTAATGACCAACCACTTTTCCAGGGTCAGAAGGAGACTCCAGGCAAACGGGCGAAAGTCAACTGATGAACCAAGTGGAGGTGTCACTTGTTCTGTGTTTTTGTGGGGGAAGGGGGGAGCATGTTGCCCAGCGGCTTCAAGTACCTCATTACGGTTTTGGGTTTGGTTCAAGGGAGCCCGTCAACGTGCCAAGGAATCCTTTGGGCAGGCGTCTTGATCTTGATGGAGACCCCAATGTTCTTGATCTTCCCTTTAAAAGGTCACAAGTCGGTCCAAAAGACTGCCCCCTTTCCGGCCCACCCCTATGACGGTGCAAAGATTCTCTAACCAACAATGGATCTCCATGAAAGAAGTGATGTTACATGTCACCCAAACAATCCAAGCGCCCCATTTTTACGCTTTTGGTTTTGGCTCAAGGGAATTCGTCAAATGGGGTTGATCGATATTCCTGGCCCTAAAATGGCCATGGGCAACCTTTCCATTTGGTGGTGAAAGTCACCTTTGTTGGTGGTCCCTGATGGTCATCCCATGCAAAGGATCTTTTGATCAACCCCCAATGCAGACTCCTCAAATCCGGAAATAGAAACCTGGCCCCTTTTGGGTTCAAACCACTTGCGCTCGCTTCGCTTTGGGCGAAATGTCTCGCTCTCGCTTGCGCAAGCGCAGAACTTTCCGTCGCCTTGTATCTGCACATGTACTCCTGCCAGGCTTTTGTTTGCGGCAGGAGTGCGGCTCACTGGGTGTTGACTAGGGCTCCGGAAAAGACATCTTTTACCCCTACACAATTTGGCCAGGGGTCAAAACCCCGTACCCCCAGTGAACATCCCAATCACCACTGAAATAAGTTCTAAAATGGGCGGTGGACCTACCCCAAAATGCGATCCCATTGGTTTTGACCCACAGCCATTTATGCTGGGTACTATCATAAAACAGTTGTTTGGAGGGGGGTGCTGGGTCGTCCACTGGTGTTTTCCTTCCATCCTTTCGTGTAATTCTAGTTGTTGATTCGTCAATCGTTGAGCTCGTCATTTTTGTTTGAAGGGCCATGGAGACTCCAGGTAAGGGTTGATTCCAACCATTCTTTTCAACCATCGTTCTTTTCAAAAACCAGCTGCTTCTCCAGGGTTTCCGGAGGTTTTCCAGAAAGAAGGATCCCTGGAAAGAATGGGGAAAGTACCCCTAGAGTAGTGGGAGCCCCCAGAATAAATAAACTTTGGGGTAATAGGGGGGGGTCCCCTTTTAGTGGCCAACACACCCTATGCCTAGAACGGGATTATTGATCCGGGGTCATGTAAAAAAACATGGGCTAACTGGCACCGAGTGAACTACTCCACCTGATCCCCTGGAACCAATGTGTGGCTTCCCACGGGTAGTGTTGCTTGAGTTCCCCGAAAACAACTCCATTTCTTCCCGGCACACATCATCATCAACCTGGAGTCTTCTTCTGACGCTGGAAAAGTGGTTGGTCACCTAAAGACCCATTTTTGATTCGGGTCCTCGGAGACTCCAGGAACAAGGCTTGATTCCACCGGATAAATTGTCGGGTCCACCGAAATGGGCTTCGGGCTTCATGAGAAACCCGAAGCAAAACGGAAACCGAAACGAAGAGGCACACCACGGACATCGAGAGAAATCGCTCGCCTGAACAACTCCATCCATCTCCATCCACCCACCTTTCCAGACCTTCTAGAAAAAAAAAAAAAAAAACATTGGGTTTTGGTAGGTGTTCTGTGCAGTACGCAAACAAAAAAAGGTGAGGTACCCCGTTTCGGCAAATCTAGGGAGCCCCCATGTCCCCAGCTAAACGGTGGAGAGCTTCTTCTTGCGGACGCGCATGTCAAAAGCCCTTGAAGTCCCGGAGCTTGTTCGTTGCCAGGTGAGTAATTCAGTTGTTAGCAAGCTGGGCATTATACCCCGCGTATTTTGTCTGCCGCAAGTGCAACTCACCGCAACTGACCCCGGAGGAAATCGACCCGCCCTACTCATCCGATTTGAATCGGGCGCGCTCTGCGTCCTCACTAAACTCCGGGATGCCCCATGTTAAGAAATCGAGGTGACTAACCACATACTAGCTTGGGAACGAACATCCAAGGCTCCAGTAGCCCCCCCTCCCACCAAAACGCCTCTGTCCACAAGGTGACGTGTTGAACATCGAATCACAACCCGATGCGGAGAAAGATTCGGCACCAACTTTTGTTCGGTTGAAGTCTAAAAACTGGGGGCGACTCTTAACTTTCCGAGGGCTCAAGCCATTTTTGTGAATTGGTTCAAGGGAATTCGTCAACTACAGATTCCTCACATGCGCAATATGAGCTACCAAGGGACCCTTTGAGGTTGGGTATATCCCCCCCCCTCATTTTAACCGGGCCTTTCCCCCCCCAACAAAAGGACATGAAACAAAAACCCAGCCAGGTCTCGGATCAAGCCCGAAGGCAAGTTTTGGCCCGGGCTCCTTGGTACAGAGGTTGCTCCCTAGGATGTTATTTTTAAACATCACCTCGACAAGTCTTGTTTGGAGTCTCATCCTTTTTGGGGTCGGGAAACCGTTCCTGCGGAACCAGCCAGTTCTAGAGACAAACAACCCCAGCTTTTGCCTTGTGCCGCGACCTTACGCGCGGAAAGCCGTCTCCAATTCTCGAGCTCTCCGGAAGATTTGAGACATTTCAGCATAACCTCTTGCCTAGAGCAAGAGACGTCCAGCTGGACAGATGAATTGCTCTCGTGGCGTTCATTCACCTCCATTTGCTTAAGTCCACTGGAAAAGTCGGGATATGTCCAGTAGTGAGATAGATTCCAGCAGCAAAAACTCGGTCTCAAGCAAACGGAAGTTGATAGAAATCAATTTTCGGACCGCAGCTTCACTGCAGCAGTGGCCGACAAGCCGCCTGGAAAGTGTCACCCAAGTGGCCCAAGAGCTGCAATGCTTCTGGCACACCAAAGCCCGACGACATGTCCAGCACCTGAGGTTTCCCGCACAGAGCACGCTGGGGGTGGGAAAATACACCTGGAGGGCTGTGGTTGAAATGGAATCCACGAAGCTGTGATACAACAAAAGGGCTTGAAGACTACCCCCCCATATACAAAATATATAAGGGGGATTCCCTTGTATCACAGAAGTTGGGGATAAACCCCTTAATCCCACAACCCTGTGTCCGACCAACAAGATGGAGTGAAAGCTAGCGGCAAAACACCCTGGAACACTTGTTTCTTGCCGGTGAGTATGGTGAGTGCAAAAACATCCATTTGGGTCTGTCTTTTTTTGGGGACCTGCCTTTAAAGCAGACCCAAAAGGCTTAATAATAATAATAATAATACTAATAATAATAATAATAATAACGACATCCATTTAAGTCCTTACGCCAAAAGTTTGGTTGGGATTTGCTCCGAAGGCGCGTTATGCTCATACCTGGCTGCCCCCAGACCATCTGTGACGTTCATCAATGCCACCTGCGGGGTGTAGTCCAGACTTGGCAGCAAGGAGCCCTGCTTTCGGCAGCCAGCGGGGCAGCAAATCACTTTCAGAAAGCTGCCCTGAAACATCCCTGCCGCGATCTGAAACTGCTTCCTTCCTGGCTTGCTCGATTTCTCTCTCTCTCTCTCTCTTTTCCGATCGAACAAGTTGTTTTTTAATGGACCTCTTACAGGCTTGGACAAATCGCAGTTGTTTCCATACGGCCATACGGTCCTAACCGGGGAGACGCAGTCACACTTGAGATTGCTATGTGTCAAAACTTAAAAACATTAAACAAGTATGCCGCGCTTAAAAACTTCTGGCTTCCCCTTGATTCATGTGTCCTTTTGGGTTTATTCCATGGCCCATGGGGCATAAAAGCCAGTGGAACCCACCCGTACCCCCAGTGAACATCAACCAATCCCAAGTAAAAAAAAAGAGACTAAAATGGGTGGTGCACCGAAAACCTCAAAATGGGATCCCAAAACGGTTTTGACCCACACCTATGTTGAACTAATTCCACCTTTAAAAAAAGATTTGTTTCTCCTCCCGCCGGCATCCGTCCGACCGAAAGGCCAAGTCGCCCAGGCTGGTGCCGTCCTCCAGCCACGACTCCCAGAAATCGAGGCCAGTCACCACCACCTCCCGGCGCAAGGGTTTGGCGCCCTGCAGCGCGGGCAACAGGCTCTGGCTCTGCATGCCTCAGCTAACAAGCTGAGAGCAAAGAGCTTGTAGCAAGTCTGGAAAATGAAAAACCTCAACATGGTAAATTGATGGTTTCACAAGATGGTAAATGAAGAAACCCTCAAAACCCTTGGAAATTCATGGTTTCACAAGTTCTTCACCTTGGGCTTTGTAAGCTGGGCTGCCCGATTTCCGATCCCCCGCTTAAAGTGACGAACTTTTAGTGGGTCAACTTCGGAAATCCCACCACTAAACCCTAAAAGCCGAACAAGCTAAGGGGATGGATGGGAGCCACCAAATGCTTAGTAAGCCTGGCCATTGCCCGTTTAAAACACCCACAAGGGCCGATCGATTCGATACGTCTGCTTCAGGCAATTGAGTAGTAACCACGGTCATAACCCATACAAGTCTTCGTTCAGTGGGTTGTCTCACCAGGCATAGACAAACTGCTTACTTACCCGATCACCCCCTTTAGGGACCCAGAAGAAACTTCACCTTTTGTAGCCACCAAAAGGTAAATGACTGGGGCTCAAAATTAAACAGGGGGGGTTACGCGGGTTTTGGTCAATGTTTCCACTAGGGTTCTATTTGGTACCAGTTTTTTGTAGCCACCAACCAAAATGACCAAGACCCAAAGTCGGCTACGAGATGCTCGAAGGCACTGCTGCGCCTGCCAGCTCAATAAAAGTCCTGCCCACGTCGATGAGCGATACCTGGGCTTCGGGTACAGTCAGAAAGCCTCCCGCCTAGCATGGCTTTGCGCACAACCATTAGTAGGTAACCCTTCAGATGTTGTTTACCAGCATGAATATTCCTGGCTGCCAGGAACCAACTAATACTGGTTTGTGAGCACAAATTCCCGTTTCCAAGAGGAAAGTAGTCTTACGGAAATACGAAGGCACTTCCATGTTTGTCGTTGGGAGGGCAGATCTTCGGACTCTGTTTAAGTGCTGTGGATGGTTGCCACACCGCACCAAGAAATGAAACCATGATCATGGTTGAAACCATAACGTTGGTTGGTATCACGGGAATCGACGATTCAAGGCTTCTTGGGTGGCCTAGATTTTTGTCCATCCAGTGTATGTAGTCAACCACACACTAACAGGGTACCTAGATCCATTTGCTCCTTGAGCAATTTCCCTGTCAGGGGTGGCAATGTGGGGGGGAGGGTAAAAACGAACTCCTTAAGAAAACTGGAGTTGCCGTTTCAGGAACCAGGTTTTAAAAAAAAAAAATGAAAAGAAAAACAGAGAAAAAGCTCAGACCTCTTGGGTCAAGATGTGAACCTTCGGAAGCGACCGGCTCAATAGTAAACCTAGGCCCAACATGTGTCCAATTTCGGGTATTTAACTCACTTCCGCTCGAGTGGGTTCGCCAAACAAGTCACTTCACTTTTGCTGCTAGAATGGTCCAGACCCAAAAACCACCTGAAGTCCGAGTTCCGGAACGGGAGTGGGTGGTCTAATGTCGACTCGCTATGAAGCCCCTGTTCCTAAAAAAAAGGGTGTGCCTGGGTTTAGTGGAAAATCAGACCACTTTCGGAGGGAAAGAGCTTAAAAGGACTA